ATTTGCCAATAATTGTTGATTGGTGAGATGGTCTTTCCTTACTTATGTAATAAATGGCACTGATAATTATGAATAAAAAAAAAATACTTACACAAAGACACCAGTCAGTCAACATCCAAATGACAAGAACAGCAAGACTCAATTTTTCGATAGTCATTTTTAAAATCGCTTGTAGGAATCTTTCAAACTATTCCTTTATGATCATATTGATGTTCATGCAATTGATTGTTATTTATATATACGTTTACATATGTACTGGGTGTTTCAGCAAACATGTCCTGACTTTGTATCACGATGCCATTGAAGGACGTTCGGGGAGAAAATGTCAAAGATACAGCTCTCGGACAACCGGCAATACAACATCAATCTGGCATTATGAATATAATGCACTGTAAAAGGTCAACACCTGTATATATGACCAAGACAGCTTTGATACGGCTAAACGAATCATTAAATTACATAATTGCAATACAATAATCATTACCTTTTCAACTCGGTTTCGATTTCTCTATATGAACTGTTAACATAATTATAGACATTTTGCCAAAAGTATATTTCTCCCCTACATATAAACCATTGTTTGTGATATTATTGGGTCATGTTTTCATGTGACGCTACTGTATTTGAAAGTTTAAGTACGTGTAGTTTATAAAACTTCCGATGTGAATTTTAAACTGATAAGCCATTTTATCTCTAACAGATGTTACAAAATCAATATAATCAATAAAAAAAATAATTTTATCCAGGGTACAAGAATACAAAGGTTTAATATTGGTTTCAAAAGCCTAGATATAGCAGAAACCAACAATAAAAAAATGCGTGAACTAGCGTCTTATAGCATAAGGGTGTATTTTATATCCCTTCAATTTCAACAAATCATTTTCCCGTTTTACTCTCAAATTATTTATTTAAATAACTTCAAATACAGTTTTATGTTATTAGAAAAGGTACAATAAAAATTCTAACCGAGAAAACGTTAGAAATTATTCTGCATAAACAAGTATGTGATTTCCCCCCCACTCGATGAGCCCGATTTCTCTGGCATCAAAAAAGCTGAATTCAGTGCTGTGTACATGTATTTCTATTGATTTAAAACAATAATTATAATTTTGGTGCATTTTGAATTACTCTTCACGCACCTTTAGAATACACTTGATATGTGTGTCAAGAATTGACTACAAAATTGATTAAAATTAATACCAACGAAGAATACATGTATTTCACTGCACAGAGGGACGATGAAAGTAGTCTACATTTATTTCTAGGAAGCCAAACCAAACAGGACTGTACATACTTTGTCCTTGTAAAATGATCACTTCCTCTACAAAACTTTCCGCTACAAAATACAGTTCGTCATTTCATTTTTTTTTCGTTCCAGAAATTAAACATTTAAGTTTTAATAACAGTAATGACTGTAATTGTCATGTATGCTAAAGCATAAAAATGACATGGGATTAATTTAACCAGAGATCCAGGCTATTATCTTGGAAGCTGACGATCTTGAAAAAAAAAAAGAATTAAAAAAGCATTTGTCAGAAGATATCATTGTATTATACTACATGTATCAATGCTTTGGTTTGAATGAATGAACTTAACATAAAGTTAAAAAGAAAATCTGATATTACGCTTCTGTTTTTATGTCGATTAAGGCTACACATCGGAATATGTTTCTCATTCGTTTTTTGCAGTAATAACTGTCTCCGGCACTTTGAGAAATATATTCAGATCATTTGTATTTTTGCCTTTGAATTACTGTATTCTATACAATCCAGTTTACCTGTGTAAATTTTAACCGTTTGTCTTGCAATCTCTTGCATCGCTCGAGACTTGATCTATAGACTCGTGACGTCTTCAAAATTTGTGTCATCAGGATTCTCGCCCGTCCTTGAAATATTTTCTTACTATCAGTACAAGTTCTTCCTTTTAAAACATTCTTTTCATATTATTTTTCTTTTTTTTTTTGGTATATGACACTATAGTATCAGGTATTAACATTTCATGCCTAATAAGCCAATAATTCACACTATATTTTATCAGTTTTCGTAACCGTAACAGCTCTCTCTTTCTCTCTCTCTCACTCTAACACGTAAGTAGCATCCATAAATTTGAAGGACGCAAATTAAGTAATATATTTTTTTTCTTTGAAACAATTAGCTTGTTTTAATTCTATTTCAAATTGTAGCACCAGTGACATTGCATGTCTTGCATCTCAATCTTGCCCGACATTGTGTAAAGTTGCTTCATTTACCTTATCTGGATAAAAGAATAACAGTTGGATTGAGCATTGAAAATAGAAAACAATTTCAAGGCCGTAACTAGCCTCAAATTTTTAGTGATGCAAGGTGTCTGAGAAGCACCCTAGTCCTAAGCGGGCCATCATGACGGTAGTTCCTGATGGGGGTTCTTAGGGGGAGGGGGAGTTCCCCAAACTGGGTATTTGCAAATTAAAGACTTCAATTATGAAGATTTTTTTTTACGTTTTAAATTGTCGCCCTCGTGGCGCACTGGTTAGAGCGTTTGATCTAGAGTAGCGGAGTAAGGAGTTTGAATTCCCACGGCGGGATTTAGAGACCGATCCTTCGGATGAGATCGAAGAAACTAAGGTCCGTGAAAAAAGATCCCTCACGGTTCAATGACCCTGAGTGCAGAATATAGCTCTAATCTTCACTGCCCTCCAATGGCAAGTTGTAGAGTCTCAATATGAGTGAAAGATTCTTGGAAGGGACGTTAAACAAACAGAACAAACGTTTTGAATTATTTTTTACATACGTCAAGTTCCTAACGATAATGAGGCACCTGGTGAGATGATCGATGAACAGAATTGAAACAAAGATGAAAGTATCAATTTATTACTAAGACACACATAATCAACTTAAATTCAAGTAAAAGTTTTTTTTTTCACTTTTCAGAAAACTCAAAAATTTTAGTGAGGCATTTGCCTCACTTGCCTCAATGGTAGTTACGGCCTTGAATTTTGTTTTGTTTTATATCACTCTGAGGTTATTTTTTATTATTCTCACATTCCACAGAAAAGCAAGAGTACTTTTTTTTAATTTTTAATTTCTTACTTTAGAAAAAATAATTTAAATAACGCATTGAACAATTAGATCAAAGACAAAAGAAATTTTAAAAAATGCAAACTGATCCTTAATGATTTTTTATCCAACACATTACAATTATTTTTTTATTATTACTAAGAAAGTTTTCCGCCCTTGAAGGTAGTTCGATATTGGTGTGTACTATATAAATCTGGAGTCACAGACGCGTCAGAGGGTGTGCGAATGAATACTTCATCTCTCTGGTTCAATTCCAATAAGGCAACGCGCCCATTGATGATATTACATTATGAAGGTCATTTCTACCAGCAAATGATCCACACATGGTATTAGAGATTTGACTACATGTATTAATTCTGTATAAACAGATCCAACCCTCACGCCCCCAACGTATATTTTCCAAGTAAATACATAAACGCAATGATTGGGAGCAGTGAAAACACCTGCGTGATGATTGTAGTTATTTCCGATGTTTGTCGGTGCAACATCGAAAATAATTGTTTGATGCTGGCCAAGATGGTTTTCCGATTTGGACAGGTAAGAAAAGAAAGCAACTCTGTCTTTGGATGTAGGTGGAGTTTTTGAAAGATAGATTGATTGATTGAATGAGTGTTGTTTAACGTCCCTCTCGAGAATTTTTCACTCATATGGAGAAGCAACTACTTGCCGATGAAGGGCTACAGAATTTGGTTTCAGGGTTCATAGCATTAAATTGTATTTTTTTTTATCTTAAAGGACTAGCAGGTAATTGATCCTTTGTGCTAGAAATTTTTCAAAGTTTTTCTTTAATTGGTATTATGTAGGCCCGGCCAGTACCAAATGATACCAAAATTATTTAGTTTTAAGAATTAATTTGAATCAATTTATTTAAAAAATATACTTTTAATTGATTAATTTTTTTTTGACTTTTATTTTGTATTTGAATCATATAAATTAAAAATATATGTAATAACATCTAGATATCTATGTATGTCATAAAATGGCCTTTTCTGCTTCGTGATAATTTGTCGTTTACTGATTTTTATTCGCAAATTATAAGTCTAATTAGCATATATATATATATATATATATATATATATATATATATATATATATATATATATATATATATATATATATATATATATATATATATATATAAAGAAATAAAAACTAATTAAAAAAATCAGTAAACGACACCAGTATATTTTCGAGGGCATTTCCATTCATGCATTCTGGTTCCTTCCCCCAGTCGCCTTTTTATCTTCCTGTTCTTTGTCATTACAATGTATGCTTTCTCGCTCTGGATGATGCTCTCTATCAATACAGTATAGTTAAAGCATGAAACGTAAAACGTCCATTTTGGGAAAAAGGGTTCTTTTTTGTGAATTATAAAAGATCAAATGCGTTCAGGGTAGTCTTTAATGTGAAATATAAATAATATATTACATTTCAGATTCAAAAAACAAACAAACAAAAAAAAACAAACAAACAAACAAAACAAAAAAAAAAAAACAAAAAAAAAAAAAAAAAACAAAAAAAAAAAAAAAAAACAAAAAAAAAAAAAAACCACTTCACAAAGTGTCATTTTGATTCCTTCAAAAACATAATAGCATGATATATAATTTTTCAAATGTGATACCTCAGGATTACACTAAACTTTGTCTCGAGAGTTTTTTAAGCTTTGTTCAAAGTTAAAATTCAATGTTCTTTAAATTTGACAAAAAGAAAGAGGAAATATGTTTGTATTTCGTATATCTATACCAATCTGTTTTATTTATTTTCCGTTAAAAGAACACAAATGTTTGCATATATTAGTAAAAATACAATTTTCTAAAATAAAATCTGTATGGGAAAGCAAAATTTGTTAAATAGCCTTATTTGATTAGAAATTTCTTTCTTGGGTTTTGCATAAAAGATTTCAACAAAGGTAAAGTATATGACAATTGCGAAATCGTTGTAGTT